TAATCGAACCTTCGAAAAATCCTTCCAAAACTACTTACTAATCGAGTGATATTTTATAAAATATTTACTAAAAGAAAGAAAAAAACAGAATTATCGGCGGCAAAAAGTGACTGATGATGATAGAGGGTATAATATAACAACAACACATCAACTCTCTCGGTTGGCCGTGAACACCGTACGCGTTTGCGATGACTGAAACCGGTAAAGGAACTTTTGCTTTCTACCTGCAGTAACTACACGCTCGCGTGTGTATTCTGTACAATCGTCGTCGTCACTTGTATGAATAATAATAATATATCGTTTGATTAATCTTCACTTGAGACCCCGGAGGCCGTGAAAACGTGTACAGTGATGCCAAAGCCCCCTCCTCCTGCCCGTGCGAGGACCCATCCCTCTACTTAGTTTCCCGTTGTAATTGTACGCGGTTAACGCCGATATTACGTGTTATTATTATGTATATGCATAATACAGAACGTACTGAGGTATACAATTCGAGTGAGAGGAAATGCTTTAATATAATATTATTTTAATTGCAGAGTAGGTGTTTTAAAAGAAGGATGGGGATACACAAATCGCGGTGCGCACGTAATGTTAGGCTCTGGTTACCGTGGCCACCACTGTCTTCTTCATAATATACTGGGGGGGAGAGTTGGCAACGACGCGAAGTCCGATAATATGTATCGATCGCGACGGGGCTTTCACGATTTATTTTTTCAATCTTCTATACCCAAGTCGTTTATTTATTTATTTTTTCACCGCTACGACGTTTTACTGTTTTAAATATTTCTACGCGAGCGCGTGTTTATACACTCAATCTTGAACGCCTATCACCGTTTGAAGGTAGGCTTACAGACCGTATAGTATATCAGTTTTGCTGCTAAAGTTGCTGCCATAGTTCGATATTAAAATACACTCGATGTCTATCGCGTCCGTTCGACAACCTCTGTACAATAACTCATAGTTCTGTAAATCTCAACGGATGCCGTATTCATTCCATGAACCAGCTCAGTCTTGCAGCCGTGGTGTTGTACTTTTTGTCATAATATCAATGAACGACTTGGAACGATGCCCGTCCATATTTTAACGAGAACTTACAATTCTGAAAGTTTGATCGAATCACATCGTTTTAGATTAAATATGGACCTAATAATGTCTCTTCCATTAGGGTTGTATATCTTACGTAAGAACTTATTGTTATACTGGTAGCTAAATAGAGAAAAAAAAGGTTCATCATTTTTTTACTATTATCTAGGATTTGAGTATAAATTTAGAGTCTTTTACTCTGGGGCTTTATATTGTTCGCTGTAATTCTCTCGTAGATAAGTATGTGTCAGTGATTAGCACTAGGCGGGATGCGAGCATATTTTAGTTAAAATGTTGAAGTGTGGTTAAAAAATGAAATTTTTTTAATGAATAATTACAAACTGAAGAAAAGTTTTTAATTTTTTCATAAAAAATCCGGTACTGATTTATTATCAACAATTTAGATGTGTCTATTATTTATTTTAATAAATTCTACCATTCCTTCTGCAATAATTGTTTTCCACTTTACATGTTTTTGCCGACAATATTACGTAATATCGTTCAAAGAACCGCCGTGTGACGATAAAGTTCATCGGTACACTACAATATGTGGACTATAATATGTTGCCCGGGCGGCGGTTGATTTTCTTGTTCGTCGTATGTTTCAACGAAGTGCATAAAATACACGAAAACGCACTCTTCGGCGTGTGTCGCTTCGCTCCGACCTCGGCTGTTTCGAATACGTGACCTCAAAACAGCGTGTTTTTTTCTAGTTTTTTTTTCCACGTCCAAAACAATACAACGAATCGGCCAAATTCATAACACGTGCGATACATGTACACGCCGTATACCTTTACATAATATGCGTATATGTGTTGTTGTAAAAAATACCAAAGTTGTCATCGGGTAGTGGCATCGCCGTGTTGTCCCCCTGTATCTCATGCCCTATCGCGTATAAATTTAAATGTTCAGTCGTATGTCATATTTATAATACCCTCAACAACATCTCACGTATACAGAGCAATAGTGTTTCGCAACAGTCAAAAAGTCCGTAACGATTATCATTTCGCGCGCACATGGTAACATATTATTAGTAACCCGTCACGTAGTTCGTTTTAAAAACGTATTTATTTTTTTTTTTTGTGCTGAGGCTAAACGCGTCACGAGCTGTGCCCGGAGCATTTCGACCGCCGTCCGACGAACAAGAATCGCCCCCAACGTGTGCGATATTATAATAAAGCAATAATATCAGTAGTAGTAAAAATTAAAATAATAATACTCCGGCGACCTCTGGCAAACGCGAACCATTCCGACGTTCTTTCGCCTCCGCCGCTCTAAATATTTTGCACGGGTTTTTCTTTGTTTCTGTTCCGATTGTAATTCACGTTTGATCGCGTTCTCTCTCTCTATATATATACATCGAACACGGCTCGATTCCCTAGCAAAAAAATGTTAATTTACCGGCTCGTGATGTATATGCTGTGGCTGGCAGTGATTATGATGTGAATATTAAAAACCCTTCCAAATGTATAATACTATTTGTGACTTTCTTTGAAACGTACCCTAAATTACATTCATAACTGTGTATTTATTTATTTTATTTAACATTATATTACTGTATACAACTGTTTTACATCTGAATTCGAAATCTAAACATGTATTACCATTACTATACTTGTCGTTATGAAAACATGCGGTTTGAATGAATTTAACAGTCAGTATGATGGACTCGAAAATGAGTAGGCTTACAAAATGCAAAATAAATTGTATTTCGTTTAATTCCAAATCATTGCATGTAAATAGATGAAAACGGTTAATAATTCAATTGAAAAAAAATAAGTGTCCGCGTTTCCTGGTGATTACGAATCCAATCATGGTAATTTTGCGTCATACATTTAGGTTAGTTGACGCGACAACTACTCATTTGTACCGCAATAATATTTTATCAATATCGACTATAGTGGTGTTACCATTTGTCTTGGTTCTTCGTCATTATGCAGCTTACGTTTAAAAGATGCGAGTTAGCTGTGCTTGCTCGTGTTTCGTTGTTACCAGACAGCGTATTACCAAACCGGTTAAAGCCCCAGCGCCGTATTCAAATACGCTGTTTTCATTGATTTATTTGAAAAAAACCGCTTAAATATATTTTTCTTTTATCAAATAAGTACAATTGATAACGTTAATATAATACAAACTCGTAAAAATAAATAAACAGTCACTAATTTCTTCAAAAAAAAAAAAAATGTTAGTAAGTAGTGGTTTTGTAACTTAAAGAAATACGATTTTGCCCAGGTTGATAAGTTCCACACTCACTATCATAATATCATTTTAAATTAACATAATAATATCACAACCATGTACATTACATTATAACATATAATTTATAATATGATGATATATACCTAAGTTGATAATACGTAATAATAAAATAAATAAGATAATAGGCTACCGGGCATGTAATACCCAGATATCATACCCAGGTATATAATCGTATAACAATAGATATACACGATACGGTAATATGACTAACGTAGAGTAATTAAACCGTTTCTGAGAACGTAACGTTAATTTTAACGAGTCTGCGTATAATTTGTTTTTCTCCCGACGGACTGTGAAGGCTGCGAAGAAGCTTGTTAAAAATTAAATTTTAAATAAGTATTTTTTTTCCCGTACTTGTTTGCTTCAATCGCCAGTGAATCATCAGATTGATCTGATTAAGTGGGCGACAACGATAGATTTTTCACGAAACAATGTCATTCCATTTAATTTAACACGTTGCAATCGTGTTTTTAAGAACTCTGTTGTTCTGTTGCGCAGTGTACTTTTTCTATTCGGACCAAAAAATAAAAAATAAATATTTCCATATAAGAAAGTCGCCCTCGTTATATATATATTTAAAATGTATTCGACATGTACACCATTAAAGAGTTCTCGTTTGCAATGGTAATCAAGGTAAAATTGGCGTAAAAAAAATTCGCGGCACCGATGGTTGGCGAAATCACCAGTCATACAATGTGACCGGACCCGTGAATAACATTATAGATATTACGTTAATTTTGTCTCTTCTTTTTTTTTCCATCGGAAATCGCTTGTATACATGTATACATTGTTTCTAATTACGACACTTGTACTACACCGCAAAGACTATCTCTTGTTTATCTGTTTTTTTTTTTTTTTTTTTTTTTTTTTTTTTTTAAATAATATTTAATCGATCGGCACAGATCATACGCTGCTCATCATCTTGTGTACGTTTATCACACGGAAAAACGTCATCCGATCATGACAAATAATAATACATATTATATGTATCCTACGTACATTTACATATTAAAACCATTACTATCGAAATATTATTATTTCATAACAGTTGCGTACAACAGTTAATGTTCATTATGTTGGTTAGCTCATCTGTCAAAGCAATAATAAATAATATTAATATTTAAAAAGTGTAACCTGGTTACGGTTGACCTACGCCGCCACCGTGCGATATTGTATCGATCCCGACAAAGTAAACTCGCGTATATCTAAGTTTTAGGTTTCGCGTTATAATGTTATGATGTAATACTCTACCAATGTTTATTTGTAATGCTTGCACATTAGCTCCTCTACAATGTTTGTTCGAATAATAAATATACATATAATAATACATAAATTCTCCCCCATAAATATTTGCGTTTTTCGCAGCTGCTGCTGCTGCTGTTGCAGTATAATATTATAATATATCACTATGTCACATCACGTGCCGCGCTACCGGCACCGGCGGGGCTGGCAGCAGCAACAGTTCTGTTCTCGTATGATTTTGTACATTATTTTTTATTTAATTTTTTTTTTTTTGCTTAATGGCTACAATCATTGCGTTTCCACGCGTAATGCGTCACTTTAATTAACTATGTCCTGGCCGTTGCGCACGTGGCCGTGTTATTTTTATCTGTTAAAATGAACGGTCTGATCAAAGAGATAATTTGCTTTATTCACAGAAGTCAGTCAAAGGCATCGTATTTATCGGCGTACAAGAGAGAGCCGAGGGAACGCGAGAAAGGACTGCCAAATTTCGAGGGGAGCTACAAAAGGACGGCATCGCCGAACAACACCGGACGTAGCGATGCAGCCGTAGCCGAGGAACCGCAAGGTGAGTTGAAATTTAACGTACTCGTTCATACCATACCACCTATGCGTGTTTAAAGTTGATAATGGTCCTCATAACGTAAACAAATGTAGTCACTTTCGTCTCAGAACGTACGTATGGTAGACCTTAAACTTATAAAAATCCGGTTTTTAACGGAGAGCGAGAACATAAGCGTATTAGTTACATTAACATTAATATAGCTAGCTAGCATGCGGTTCACATAAACGTTTCAACGAACAGATCTATCAGTACACATCATTTCACATTCAGATTACATTTATATGTTTTAACCAGAATATTGAAAAATTTAATTGTGCCAAGCATTTTGCATAATAATATTATGAAGTTGCAATTAAGATTATAAGGTTACATTATTTCAAATTATATATATATATTTATATCAATAAAATTCGTATAAATTATATTGTTATGGGTTATATTGGGTTTTTTTTTTTTTTTTTTAATATATCGTGGGTTCAGTTACGAAGTATGTACGATTATAATATGCTAAGAAGTTCTACCTGTGACTATTATAGTGCACGATTCATACGATTGTGTATGGTGATAAGATTATATTGCGTATTTGTTTTCAAAAATTCGATACCGATTAGGCCTTCAAACCGATATAGTATAATACAATTTACATACGAACCCATGAATGTATAAATTCAACGTGTTTTTCGTCAACGTTTTTGTATAAACTCGTCGTATTCCAACGGTATTGATGATATCGGATGGAACCAAAGATTTAATATTACAAACCAACATTTTCCAACGCCACGAAAGTCGACGCCAAACCGAAATCCGAAAATGTTGTCTATTGGACTCGTGCCGCATATATGACGGTGTAATACATGTTTGGACAACGATATATAAAAAACGACCGAATAAATAAATGGGCGAGGTAAATATCTTTGTAATAATGATAATTTTTTTTTTTTTTTGCGAACAGATGTGGAAAACGTGGCACCAGACGGCAGCGATTGTAGCGGCAACCTTTTGGAGTTGGGCGGCCGTTTGCAGCAGGATAACAACAACTCAACAACAACTAGTCAACAGCCGTCGCCCGTTAAACAGCAACCGGTGGACGTGACGACTGCGGCGGTAGTCACGTTACCACCAGCTCCTACGGTGTTATCTGAGCGACCGATTGTCGACCAACAACAACAGCAACAGCCGCAGCCGCAGCAACCGCAGCAACAATCGAAAACGCTGCCGCGATCCAACAACTCGGCCGGACAGGACTTCAAACGGTCATCGCGGACGCCGCGCACCCAGTCCGATCCGTCCAACATGCCCAACAAGACGGACGCCGCGGTCATCACCACGCTGCAGATGATGATGATGCCGCCGCCCAGACACTCGGAGTCCGTTTCCAGCCTGCACACGCAGAAACGCTCGCAGTCCGACCTGTCGCAGGTGGGCTCGACCGAGAGCGGATACAGCAGCCTGTCGCTGAACGCTCCGTCCCCGTCGCACTCGCCCACCCGTATGTCGTCCAGCGACTTCGGGACCGCGATCGGCGCGCCGCCGCTTCACCACCATCATTCGTCAACGGCCGCCATAATCACAGCCGTCGGCGGTGAACTCGCGGACGAGTGCACTTCTTCCTGGCACCCAGCCGAGCAGATTGCCGCTGCCACCAGCCCCGCCGCCCCCGTCAATCAACAGTACCATCACCCGGTGTCCAGGAGTTGTTCGGTAGTTTCGTCGGACGCCGCTTCGCAGACCGACCTCAAGTCCGGCGCGGGCACCCCGTCGGTGGTCAGGCGCAAGTTGCCCGAAGAGATCGAATGCGAAGAACTGTCGCGCGATCTCATCAGTCACCTGTCGCCGTCCGACAAACTTCACAACATACTAGGTGAGTCATCTCAACGCGTTCGCGTCCTTGTTACTCCCACGCCCGGCCATAAGTGCGAATCTTGCGCCACGTAACCGAGTAAAACTCAAAGCATTTACCTCTATTTGCAGTACATTCGCTATTATCATACATTCGATTGATTATTAGAACTCGAATATCGAAACTTAGACGGAGGAATGGGTTCATAATAATTTTCCGTTCGTACATTTTCGATCACCAAAATAATACCTATATATCCTTCATAAATATACAAGGGTACAGTCGTTCAAATTCTGTTCTCGTTTGTGGAACCTAACCTATAGGATCTCTTACGATCATTTTTTCAATAAGTTTCTGTGTAAACACGACTATTGTTTTCAAGTAAATCTAAGTAAAACACTTAACAAAAGTACATTCATTATAGCATCATCTCCGGTATTCTAAATTAGTTTTCGCCTTCGGCTATACTCCCATCAGCATTTTAATCTCTCTGCGGGCCTAAAATAAGTTATTAATATTTTGTGTGTTCGTTTTCTCGCTGCTTTGATGCACAGAAAAGGATAAAGGTAAATGCATACATATCATCTTTTTTTGTGTCTTAATCTGTAACGTATTTTTGTTTCAGCTCCGGGACCAGACGTTAAGCGGTCTACTGACTACGTATCACCATTGTTCCGTATGGATCTGGTACCCCGTTCTAGAACTTCTGTAGCCGAAAAATGTATTGACTGTATCAGCAACGATACAGACAATATTAATGACGCTATTTGGTAAGTAGCAGTTTTATTTAATTAGTTGCTACCATTCATCGTCCCTTGTCCACGATAAATAATACTTTAGTTCGATTATATCCTCGTTCCGAAATAACTGTTTTTGTTCATTTTTAATCGAACCTCACTCTTTTGAGTTTCACATGTATCGGTACCTACGCAAATGTTGGATTTTAATATAACGTAATGAGTTGCTAACTGTACTTACAATTTCATGGACGGTGAATACCGCACATCATATATACAATTCATGTAATATATAATGGCTAGAACCTTAAATAAATTACTCTCACATAAACCCTTGAATCCACCCAAGACAAAATGATAACCAAAACATCATTTACAATGTATTTATAATACATAAATTGATTACTGTAAACCTACTAAACCCTGTTTTATCCGACGGACGAAGAGTAATCGCTATCCTTGACCTGGTTGAACGACATCGCCCCAAAGGTGTTTGGTGTTCGTACGCTTCAGTGACGTTATCAATGTGGATGTTAATTTTTGCAAAATTATCTAGTGATAATTCCATTGTTGATGATTATGGCTGTAAAATATTAGGTTACAAATTTTGAAGTACAGTTTTAAATCCTGTATATGTTGGGTGATTAAGGCAAAAATATATAAGTACATTTGACCTTCACACAATATAACTGTTGTATCATACAATATTATACAATATGGAATACAAAATGGATTTAAATTATATACATTATAAGAATACTCACAAAATAACGGTAATTAATTTTGGTTTGTTGAATTCTATGATATTTAATTACAATTACTCGTTACAGTACGATGATTTTTTGAACGATACTGGTATACATATAATTAGACGTATTTATTTCACGTTTGTCTATGAATCTGTGATTAATTAAATCTATTATTTATTATTATTATTATTATTAAATATGATGTATCATACGTTAAATCAATACAAAGCACGTTCCTTTTTAATGTGTAAATAATGCTTTATCTATAATACATATTACCTATATTACCTCCACTGTATACATACACATAGCCGATGTTTACTTTTGTTATCACAGTTTATTGTTTTGAATCATTCAAAATAAGTGGTACTTTCTAAGCTTGTGCAGCTTATTTAGACCTGTATCTGATTAGTACTCACATTGTGGTCGCCTTGAGCATGTCGATGTATTTTCATTTTAAATTATCGTTATTTTATTCACTATATGGTAATAATTTATAACCGAAATAAACAAACGTTTCGCGCATATTTTTACAAGTACAAATATTAAAATTATGACTTCCGATTTGTGTGAACTGTAATATTCAATTATTATCCCATATTGGAGCTTGTTCTTTAATTTATAAGTTAGCGTATAATGAAAATGAACATTTGGTGAATATATCCACTTTTTATTATTCGAATTGTTTATTGTATTTTTGATTGGTATTCATTGTAATGCACAATAAAGTACCGTGTGACTTATTTTAAAAATATACGTACGCGCATTTTTAACTAATTTATTCTAAAATGTTTTAATAGTCGTTCCCATAAAGTAGATATTTTTTGTATTAAACATGTTAATCAAGTAGTCGTCATGTTATAGTTTAATGTACTTAGTTTTGACCATATGTGGGTAATTTAATTGGCGTCGTTCTGTTTCGATTAGCATAAATTTTACATTTTGTACACGCACTTGTGCATATATATAACAGCAAGCTGATGCTAATGTTATTTATTACGATTATTATTTTTAAAATTTGTAAACCGTTAATAAATGTCACTAACTTCCAATAAAATACATAATTTTCATTGAATTAGACCAACTACTAAGATATTTATTATTGCTTTTATTGATTGCTAGTGTCTAGATGCATTTGTTGACTTTTTGTATACTACTTTTCAGTAATCCGAACAATGGCCTATCGCCCAATTCTTCCTATTACACTATATCTGAACCAAAGGCAAAGCTTCTGAATCTACAGTACAGCCGGCATAGACAATTGTCTGGGATTGCTCTGCCTGAATGCAATGGAATTGGAAACTTGCAAAAGAAAAAGGTAACATTATCGCAAATTCTTACCAAAAAATTGTTGTGGACTTAAATTTACTTGAAATTCACATTTTATTTGATAGGCGGATCTTGTATCCAGATTGGATAGAAAGCTAAAGGTTCTCCGTGATGAACAAATCGCGCTGGCCGAAGAGGCATCTGTAAATGAAACTTTAGGTGTGTCGGTTGCCGATCGAGTAAAGGCAGTAGCCAAATCTCAAGAAGCCAACAAATTTAAAACGCATGTACAAGAAGTGGGTCATATTACCAGCTTGTTGTTAAGCCTTAGTGGACGGTTGGCAAGAGCGGAAAACGCTCTACTTGACTTAAATATCGATCATCTGGAGAAGGTAAAAAAAAATTATTATAATAATATTATCCATACCCTCGTGAAAATAAAAAGGAATATGCTCTTAATAACAAACAATTAACACCCAAACAATACGAGCAGCGATACTCGAATCTGAAAACTACATGAAATACAATTATGCAGTTAATAGTTTTTGTTTTAAAAATAATTTTCATTATTATTTCAAAGTATCGTATCCTCACATTTTTTTTATTTAAAACTATACTGTTAATCGACTTTATGAAGCTGAAATATAATATTCATCAGAATTTGATAATTTTATTATTTCCGTTTGAAAGGGGAACACTACTATCAAAAATGATTAATAACGCTTGTATTACTTCAATAATAATAATTGATATGTGTACATCACTGTTTAATTAATGTTTTTGAACTAAAATTGAATTTGATTTTTTTTCCACAGAAGGCGCTGGAGGAGAAAAAGTCCAAACTCACATGTCAACTAGAAGAGGCCAAAGAGTTGAAAGAAAACATCGATCGACGCGGTGACTTTGTATCGACCATACTATGCCGTTACTTAACGCCTGACGAGTACTCGGACTATGATCATTTCATAGCGATGAAAGCCAAGCTACTGATCGATGCTCGGGAAATAGCAGACAAAATACAACTGGGCGAGGAGCAACTGCGTGCACTCAAAGAAACCCTTGAAGACTAAATATATATGTACAAAACAATATGCCAAAAGGATAAAAAAAAAAATGAATGTGCACTTGTGTGTATGTGCGTATATTTAAAAGTTAAAAAAAAAATAATTTGACTGAAACAAAAGCAATTTTATAGTTTTAACTTAGATCTCTAATCAGAATGCTTTGTCTCCCTCCTTCTTGTGGCTGACACTTCAGCTGGATATATGTTGTATACTTATTTGCTTTCGAACAACACGTGTTATTCCTGTAAATATTTCTCAAATTACAAATTATATTTATCCAAATAATGACGCATATTAATATATGCTGTAGTTAATTTTCCCTCGTCGTTTTTGTAATAAAAAATAATAATAACTATTGGAATTTTAATTTTAGTCTTTTAGTAGAGATGAATGCTTTCATTCCTTGCTTTTTTTTTCAATACTTTTGAACTATATTCAAGTACATAATACATGTGTTATGGGTTAAGAGAATTAAGCAAATCAAAATACTTAAAAAAAAAAATGTTTTATTGTTGTCGAGAGAAATTTTTACATCTTTTATATTGTGATATTTGCCTTAAACGTAAAATTAAAAAAACACTCAAATTGTATGAGAAGAAAAATATTTAAATAATTATAAAATAATACACCTTTTACCTCTATCTAGCAGGGATGATTTATAGTAATTATAGTTTATATTATTATTTTTATTATTATTATTTTAAAAGTCTTAATTTATCCTTGTTATGCATTTACTGTAAATATTTTAGTGAAATGTATTGTTAAATCTAACATGTTGTATTATAATATTATAAACTGTGTATTGTACAGATTTTAATGAAGTGAATATATAGTGATCCTATGTGGTGCTATAACATGAATAAATTGTATTTTTCTTTTTTTTTTTACCTTTTAAACAGTTAATTTTATCTAGACATTTTTCATCTGTAGACTATAATTTATATTTTATATCGAGAAACATTACATCAGAAAAGCAGTACAATAATCTATTCAATGAGGACTTGAGTAATATTAACTTAAATCTCTTTATCAAATTTTGTATTTTTTTTTTTTTTGTAAATGTAAAAGTTATACTGCTGTCAAATGAAAAAAAAAATTTACTAGATATTGAATCCTACACAAACGTGTCGATATAATTTATAGTTTAAGCTTAAAGGAACTAAAGAAAATAATTTATAAAAATATAAATTCTTATAGTATCAACATTTATAAAATTGTTTATGAAATATATTAGGTAAGATCATTGTCACTGAATTATAATTTATTAAACAGAATAAATATTTCCTTGGTAATAACCAAAAATAAAAGAAAATTACTTAATACCTTTAAATTATGTGATAATTAAATCTTAACTTTCACAATCTGTTTCATAAATGAAGATTAAAAATAAAAAATTATTACAATTGTAACATTGTTAAGGACAAAAGTAATTTTCAGTTTTAAATGGTTTATTTTAATATTTAGAACTATTACACACTAATAATTATAAATATTAACATTTGGGTGGAGAACCACCAAACTCCATGAATTTTAATTTATTGATGTGTTAATTTAAACTGATATGACAAATATTAAAGTCTTTAGCCACTAATCTTACTAATATTTTTTTCTCTGTAAGGCATATTTCTGCAGCATTTTTCATAATTACTTCATTAGTTTCATGATTCGAAATTCTCTTATCAGCAGCATAACTATAATAAAAAAATAAAATAATGTAACAATAGTCCCCTGGTAAATTGTTACATTTTTCCCCGTTCAATATTATTTTAAAAATTTATATACTAAGAAAAATACTTACTAGTTAGTGTATTTTGAAAAACATCTACTTAAATTGCTCAAGTTTTTAATCGAACTAAACAAAATACAACAGGCACAAAAAAAATGATTTGCTGATAAGAAATATGATTGAGAAAGACCCGGTAGACAGGAGACTTGTTGAGGTTCAGAAGTGATGCAAAGGTAATGGAAATAAAAATCATCAGTGACAGGAAACAGCAGAAAAGAAGAGATGGTCTTAAATGGCCGAAACCAAGAAAGAAGAAGAATCAATCGAATGCGATTATCGTATTAATATCAGGACAAACGAGTGGATATTGTTCATTGTTGACACGACCGCGATTGACTCAAGTTTGGGTGATGATCAGGAGTGAAAAAAAAACAGAAATACAACGAAAATGTAATAATATCTATTTTCTATGGCCACATAAAACAACTGATCGAGGTAGGGCACGTATTCAAAAGAAACGTTCCTCGACGTTTCAATTTCTATAGGAAAAAAAAATAGTTTTTTAAAATAAAAAATATGATGCAGACACCATCACTATGCGTTATACGAACGGCGTGCTCGATACGTATAAAAATACACGCACGCGGTACAGTTTTTAAATAGTTGATATCGTTATTTTAGTTATTATTATTATTATGGACGTACAAAAGTTTCATAGGAAAAAAAAAACTGCTGTTTTTGTACACGACACGTCGTGATCAGATCGGACGACTAACCGTACGGTTACCGCGACGACCGCGGCCCGTCATTTCTTTCTCCTCTTGATGGTGCTCGTGTCCCCCACTTCCGTACCGGCCGCCGCGTTCTTGTCGCTCCTGCCGGCGTTCTGTGGGTGCACCACTCGCGGTATGTTTGTCCTCTTGGATTGCTGTTGGTGCTGATGGTGCTGTTGCTGTTGTTTCTGTTGCTGCGTCGAGTTCGCTCTGATTACGATCCTGGGCTCGACCGGTTTCCTGACAGGCGACGTGGCGGCAGGACACACCTTGTTCGGCACGCACGGCACCACCAGCGAACTGTGTTCCTCGGGTATCGAGTCCGGTTGGAGCTGCTTGCCGAACGGCACCGCCACCTTCGTCCCGTGGCCGATCGTCTCCGCCCTATCCGGTCTCTTCCGACCCAACGTGGACGATATCCGGGGTGGCGGCGGTGGAGGTATTTTCGCCGCGCCGCCGCCTTCGGCCGTGACACCCATCGGCGGCGGTAACGACAACCTCCTCTCCGTGGGCACCCCCGGGAAGTCCGGCAACACTTTCGGATACCTGATCCTGCACACGCCCTCCGGACAGCTGCCCGCGCCGTTCGACGCGTACTCCTTGGAAGTGACGTTTATGTCTTCGTAGTGCGAACTCGACTCGAAGCTCGTGTTCTTCGACGACGATGTGGCCACCAACGTCTTCGACGGCTTGCACACCTACGCGAAAACACCAGTTGGGTCTTGTATCAAAAGAGGAACAATTACTAACCTGCGCGCACCGCGTCGTCATCAGCCAGTTATTATGGTTTTAAAGTCTCGCTCTCGTTACCAATCAAAAAAAAGTGGTGGTTATTACAAACCTCTTACGTTGTTGTTGGATTTACCCTCCGCACCCCTTTAAATAACCTTACTTTTTTCATCGTAAAAAATATTTATCGCACAATATATAACATTTTGAAATATAATGTCTTGAATTTTTTAAAAATATTTATTTCATATGATAAAATGCACGATCGATTCGAATCTGGTAATTCGAATTAATATTGAGAGACTCTTGAAAATATTATAGGAGTACTTAAACTGTGAACATTTGTTTTTATTATTTATTATTTAGTTCTTCTAAGTTTGTCCCCCAATTTCCCCTCCGTTAATCCACCCATGATATAGTAGTACCTATTGTATTCTTATTACGATAGTATATTTTAATACCTACTGTAGCACTATACAATTATGAACTCACTTGGCTGTAAAGCGGTTCTTTCGGTGTATCTTGTGCGGGTTCCGACTTTGAGTAACCGTGGGTGACCTTAATGCCTGGTCTTTTTTCCTTTGTCGCCGGTTTTAATTGAATGCTAGTGGAACTCTTGTGTAACGTGTCCTGCGACGATAACAAATCGTCCGAATCGTTGAGCGCGTCGCTCCTGGTCAGCGTTTTCTTGTTGATGGAACTCAACGACAGCGAAGGTTTCAACTCGAATCTTTCCAAGACAACCATCGCGTCCATGGACTTGGTCAGTTCGATCGGTGTCTGTTTCAACACGCTAATCGTTCTGGCCGCCGGCGTGGCGTCTATGGCAACGGACACCTACATCGAGAACAGGTAAACGGTGTAATAGTTAAATCGTTCTGAAAACGGAAAAATTATACTCAACAACGTAATAGTACTCGACGAAGAACGACATATATTTTTAAAAACATTTTTTCTGTTTTTTCAAACTAGGAACGTTTGGAATCGATATTTTTAAACGACCACGGGAAGGGAATGTGAAAAACGAACGGTTCGACGTATATAGCCGGTTACACACCACTCGCGAGTATACACGATTAATTCACAATCAAATCGACACTCGTGAGCAACATGGAATTAGATACTTGTGATGGAGATGGCACTCGTAGTTGATCGCCCATAAGACGGTACATTTTTCCGAGTCAAAACGAGCCAAACTACACTCGTACATAACGGAGGCAGGGCCGTCCCGATGATGAAAATCAAGAGGGGGAGGGGGGTGAATAATATGAAAAATGCCAACTACATTTTTTTTACTCTATGTATGTTGTATAATTAACTATATGTAGTCGTATTTTTACTTTTTAACATCTATATATGTGTCAGTGTCACACGTTTTTAAAATTGATAATTTAATTACTTATATATAATAATATTTTATATTGTATAATAAGTAGTTATATAAATTTTATTCGTGTATACGCTGTATTACGAAATATGTAATATTTTTTTTCCGTAAGTAAAATTAGGTTTTTTTAGTCTATAATGAAACAACTTCGACTGCCGACTGATGTTTTCGTTGGTTGGGGAGGGTGAGACGCCTTCCCAAGACACCCCTTCGGGACGACCTTGAATGGGGGTAATTTCCACGCAGCTCGGAAATAATCGAGAGTGATAGAGAATAAGCAGATAGTATATAAATTGATGAACATGACACACGTGACTCGGTAATGGATAAACATTGAGCATACTCAGCACTACTACATCGATTAGGTCACTTCGAAAGTCATGAAATGAATCGCAATCGTCACTCTTCCTTAAGCGTATGGATTACTTTCGAGTAGTGTGGAACCGGCTTAAGATACAACGAAGTTGACCGCGAAAACTTTAAACGGGCATCCCGGAACACGAGGCGCGTGAACGGCGAGTTGCGCGCGTCGTTCTCCGCAAAGACCATAATCGTCGTCCACCGTTACTTTGTTTCTCTGCTTCTCGGCGGCTTTCGCATCGGCCACGACCGCCGCCGCAGCGGGGGCTTTCTCTACGGCCATCATCGTGGTCAGCGGGTCCTCAGCGCACACCAATTGCCTTTTCTTCTCCTCCCTGCGCTGTCGTCGCAGGATCCTCGGTGAGTACCTCTGTATGATCTCCGTGTTTATCCACTCCTTCACCCGGGTGTGCGGGTCCATGGTCAACGTGCTGCTGCTCCTCTGCCTCGATATCTCCGCCCACTTGCCCAGCCGCTTGCCGCCGATCGCCTCAGGCTTGACGCTGGCCACGGCCACCGAATCGTACGCCTGGCTCTTGTTGAACCTATTCACGTCCACCGTATCGCCGCCGGTCTTGGTGTACACGTCGCGCTCGTCACCGCCGCGGTGCCGCTGGTGCTCATCGTCGTCGTTGTCGTCGTCGAACGTGTGACTGGTGTTGGCGCCGCCACACCGGAACCGGTTGTTGAACAAGCGCTCGCGCACCCGTAACTTGTCGCGCTGGTAGTAGATGCCACCAAACGCACACACGTTCACCAACAGGAACAGGATGCCGATGATGATGATCAGCGACACGACCGCGGACGACGACGACGTGGCCGTCTCCTCCGCGACGGCCGCGGTGCTTTCGTGCGGCGCCCGCTTGTCCGACGGTTCCGCGGACGGCTCTTCACCGGGGTTCGGTTCGTCCGGGTACTCGCCGGGCCTTAGCATCGAGTCGTCCGGCATCGCGGTCGGCAGACTGAATATTGGTTCGCGTTCGATCCATGGCGGCGGCGGCTCAGGATCCTTCGGTCGCGCGGGCAACGGTGGCACGTCATAAGTTGCAGGCTGCTGCGGCTTGGACTGTTCCGCATCCTTCTGTCGTTTTTCCTCGATCCGCTGCGGCAGTTCCACGTTCCAGAACCGGCACTTGCCCGTCCTGTAGTTCATCCGTGTCCGAGTAGTCAGATCTGAAACCGTTCGTAAAACACTCGTGGTTATTCCGTCCGGCCGGCCGCGCGGTTCCACACTTACTTAGTTCCAAGTACGCGCGGTTTACGGTGTTGTACTTCGGCCACCGCACGTTGTTCGCGGTCTTCCATTCGTTCTGATACGATTTCCTCCCGGAGTTCGGGTCCCTGCGCCAAAAAAGTGTGCTTACCGTTCGGCTCGTCGTTTTACACGCAGTACATGAGAAAAACATTGCGTTAATCGAATCTTACCCGGTCTTAGCGAAATTGCTCCAATAAGTCATAATCGTTTCGGACAACCTTTTCTCTTTCTGGTCGTATTGCGTCTTGAGATGAATCGTGTTCCCACCCAATGGTACGCCTAAAACGTACGGTAAGTCTTCACCGTTTATACTCTTTTTCACCTGCATAATACATATTATACGTGTATTATTCAAATCGTACTATACGTAATTATGGTCATCTTAGCGCGTTGCACCGATATCATCGTTCATTAAAGCTTACCACGTCATATTCGCTAAACGTACTTCGATGAGTAAACACATAAAAGTACGTGTTTTCGTTGACTTCGGACTGGATGTCAGCCAGCTGAACGAGAGGTGCCAATACCATGGCATCGCTGAGGATCTCCAACAGGGTGTCACGGTTTTCCAGAGCTCCGGATGAAGTCCACGCCCGATCTCGGTCGGAATACTGAGCTAGAGTAGCGGTAAGCGTAAGTTCCGGAAAGAGCTTTTGGAGGGAGAAGAAAATTTATTAGATTATTAGATTAGAAAAATTATTCATCAAATGGTAATTGCAAAAGTTTATCACGTAAGAGTTAGTGATGCCGAACACGTACTTTAATGAGGTGGTTCGACCCTGTATTCAACTTTGTGATGGTTGAATTTACAGTATAATTGTGTATTACTTTGCTCTAAATTAGTGAGCGCTAGTGGTAACTAATTTGTATAATTTGTTTCACCAAATTGAATACAAGTCGGTGCCACTGATAGGGCTCAAAAATATTCTTAAAAAAATTTGTCGTCACCTCGAATTTGGCTTTCATGTAGTCCAACAGCACTTTGTGCTGTTCATTCTCCAGCATGCCATGCACTAAAGAAATGCTATCTAACAAATGATAACTTTCGTATTCCGTCACACCGGCCAAGATCTTGTAGCTGAAAACCCAATTAATTAATAAAATATAAAATAACTCATTACTCGTAATAAATGACCACTGGTATTGAGGAAGGAAATAATGTTTATTCTCAGGCTGTGTGCACATACTTGTTCATAAGGTTCTTATGCTCTTTTAACAACGGCAATGGTTCATTGGTGATCATCACGCCATCGATCATTGGACCGAACACAGTGACGAATGGTGGCAAGTACATTTTGGTTGACACTAAATCTGTGAAACGCTTTCTTCGTAGACAGTCAAAAAACTTTTCGTTGCCTCCGGGTCCGCAGTTTAACGACTGACCGACTTGAATAGTGTTCAATATCGGATTTTTCACCAACGCCCAGTCGGACAACGCTGAACCGCTCATCAGTATTGCCCTTTGAAAGAGATCTGAACAAATAAGAAAAAAAATGAATCATACGTGTTTTGCTAAGTGTAACTGCAATAAATCCTATCGATAGAAACCTATCAATTGAGTTCATAGACATATATTGCGCACATCGTATTTGGTGAATAAAATGGCAAATCAATTATCCATAAATCCATTAATATAAATTTTATAATATTCACTTGCAAAAAAAAAAAATTTTTAAATTTTTTAAAAAATATATAAAAAAAATTGTAAAAAAAATTTAAAAAAAAATTTTATAATAAATAAATATATTTTTTACCGTGGTTGCGCATAAAGTTATTTTCAAAATAGCTTTGAATCGATGTAAATAAAAAATATAATTGAATATTTTATATTCAATTTTATTCTATAAGAATTATTGTGTAATTCGCATCGTGCCAGTTTGAAGTAAACGTTTCAACCTTTAGAAAATTTTATTTTTTGAACAAATAAACCCATTACGATTCGCGCAAAATCAATATCCAGTGCATATCAATAGCAATGCATAGAATTACCGCGATTTCCGTTAAACAAGCAAATAGTAAGCATCAGGCACGTTCGTGAAACAATTGTCCGTTCGGTGTACACTTACTATTGTTATTGACCGGTGGCGCCATCATGAGAAAATTCGTGCAAGCCGCACCGGTACCGTGTCCCATCACTGTCACCGCATTTGGATTGCCGCCAAACGCTTGTATGTTATTCTTAATCCACTCCAAGGCGGCCATCTGATCTAACAAGCCAAAATTGCTCGCCGGAATGTCTCCACCGTTGGACTTCAAAAAACCTAAACGCGAGAAGCAATCCACGTGATTTCCTGCGGTTTATAATTTATGATTACAATAATAACAATAATTTCATTTGAAATGCGATCGATTCCGTGTGTTTTGGTCTCATCTCCCATTCGGCGGGACACATCAAAATATTTCAAGAATCTATCACGGCATTATATGGTATTTTTATAAGATATGTTTAAAATGTTGTTTTTCTCCGGGGAAATCATAAAATCGTGTTTTCTCATGAATAATACGGTCATCGCGTCGACCTCTTTCGTCGGTGACCCGCAACGCTCATTCGGCTTTTGTAACACATCAGGTATGCACAGATACTTAGATAAAAGATATATATATTTATATGTCCACGAGTAGAAGACTCACCTAAAACGCCTACGCGATAGTTAATTGTAATAAAAATAACTTTTCCGTAGCTGGCCAGCACGGAACCGTCGTACGGGTTGCCAGAGTTCCACTCGAACGATTCCCCATGAATGAACATAATCACCGCATATTTAGTCTTCTTCGTCGTTTTGTATTCGTAGCCCGTACCGTCGTTCATATCGTTTTTTGCTTCTGTAAACACAATTTAATTTTAAACTATAAGAGCCCCTGATTAGTTTAGCATGAAGACAATAGTAATATGACTATTCGGTATTCATCATGAATATTGAATGTTGCCCTATAGAGCTATCTAGTGAAATTCCAACGATATAGCTGGCTTAGACTATCTATGCACCAGATAGTCTGAAGTTCCTTGATTATTATTTATAGCCCTCTCGCGGGACTTGAGGGCTCATCAATATCGTACAATACATAGTTATCAAATGAGCAGTACAATGATGTTTATTGCTTAAATATAAAATATAACAAATTAAATGTGTACACCGGATTATTGGACCTCGGCCCTTGAACAATGATGCTTAACGATGGTTGACATCGTGAGCTGTATCTCCCCTCTCCCCCATGTCGTACAATAATATATTAGGCATACGGGCCGATTTATCTAAAAAAAAGAGAGAAATTATAGGTTTGCATAAAGCAGCCGTAACAACGGTTGATATATTAACACATAATTAGGATGTTGAATAGAGCTAATATTATAATTAAAAAAAATAAATACTCTTAGGGTATCCTCTCACCTCCTCACCGTACTCACCGTATATCTGTCCCTGATATCTTTTTTTCAGGTACATTATTAAAAATATATAATACTGCGTGTAAATAAATGGCTGATAACCATAGGTGCAATAGGGTTTTTAACACCCCTGAGTTCAAATGTAACACTCATGTTTTTTTCTTCAGATCTATATAATCTATATTAATTACATTTGAATGATATTTGATTTTATTTTCAGCAATTTCAGCACTCCCATTATTTGGGCTTTAGTTGCATCCATGCTGATAACTCATAATAAGAAATCTTTAAAGAGAAGTGGAGAATGAAAAATATGTTAATTGTACAACAAACCTAGTACGTTGAATTGAAAAAAAAACATTTTTACAATTATATTACAATATGTTATTATCATTGGATACCACAGGTACATCATTTTTTAAGTGAGTATCCGTTTCGTCGTTGTAACCGTTCAATTCAAACGTTCAAATCGATTGATTTACCGTGTACAATATTAATATCAATAATTGTAGACAATCGCGAGCTAATCGTTGCCCGATATCATTCTTGTAAAACCATATATTTTAAAGTGATATGATCGTGCACAATCGACTATTGAGTGGACTATAGTATATATTCGTATTGTGTGTTTCTACTGCAGCGTTCCTGTGTTCGAACAAGAACGTTTTAATAGGATATCCAAAAAAACATGATTGACGCTTTCCGAGAGTGTTATTTTGTTTATGGCCGCGGCAGAGTAAACATTAGCTTTTCGTTCCAATTGAGTTTTAAATAATTCGTTATGCGTGGGAGGTATTTTATATTTATACCGCCTATACCGCCGTCGTCGATAACCAACGACTACAACGGCCGACTTGTACACAGCTGTTGTGTATAATCTCTTCTTTTCCTAATAAACATTTGGACTTATTCCCAATCGACATGGTCATTAAACCTGATTTGTGCAATTGGACGATATAGGCACAAATCATTAAAAACATTGTACCGTTTCCTATTTTTTCTTTCGTGCGATTTACCCGTTTTTTCCAAATTAAATGTGTAGCCGATTAGTCGTCCCACACATTTACAAAACCATTATATTTGACGACTATTACAATTTTACAATATTTACAATCATTTTTTGTACGATTTAATTGTTTTGAAGAATTCAAAAACAAATGTAAATTATATATAACAAAATAAAACAAATATCACTTAATGGTTAATACTCGTAAAAGAATATAAAGATAATTTGTGTGTATAGAAATAAATAAATGGGTATTTATATAATACCGGTTTCGAATTTATATATTTATATAAATTATATATTATTTTATGGTTTAGAAAATATTTTATAAAATCTATTCCATAGCAATAAATTTGTTTGCCCTTGTTATCGCTGTACATTATTGAAAGTCGTGCACTTTGCCAGTGCTTGAGATTCTACCGCATTATAAAACACCCATTTTAACAATTGCACCAATGGTTGACTCTGTGATATTTCCGTTAACAAGTTTTACTAAATACGTTGATCTGAAAACAAATTTCTGAAGAAAAAAGAAAATCGTTCAAATTTGGGCTGCAGATAATGACATTAAACTGTTTAGTAAATAGCAAAAATAATATTTGACCAGCAGCATCGACGAAAATGCACAATAATCATGCTGTTTATAGTAAGATATATAACTTTCCAGTTGTACCTGATATATAAATGGTTGATGGCTGTACTAACCCAGTTGATATTTCTTTACGAACACCAGTAAGCAGTGCACCGCTGTCTATTCGAGTTGGAATTTATTTCTTCATTTTTATCTATTGCATAGGTTCTTAACCAGGGGTCTGTAGATGGTTACTCGGGGGTCCACAGGGTGGCTGTGATGTTTGATTCCATTCGCTACTACGTATCTCAGTGAGTCTGGATTTTCCACAATTGTCACAATAAAAACTAAAGCAAGAATCGAATAGACATTAAGGAGGATATGCGGGTTGCTCTGTCCGATACGGTCTCAGATTTCAAGGCAATGTTGTAATCAACAGCAAATGTCACATTAAAACTATTTTTTAAATAAAAGAAAAGTGATTATTCACAATAATTTTATACAGTATTAAGTCTTAGATGTATCATTAAATGATTAAATTAAATGATCTATTGGAAGACCACAGCTTTATGTGTTATTATTATTATTATGGTGATTTAATAATTCATACGTTCTGACTAGTTAATGCACCTAACGAGACATATTCGAAAAACGGATGACCACCTATCGTTGTTATACGGTCATTATTCGGACGTTCAATAGTTTAATAATAATAATTACAATGTAGATGCGATAAATTACGTTACAAATCCAACCAACTAAGTAACTGCAGTGTGATTATTTTGGCGTGTAGTGTAAACGATGATAGATATACACAGACTCGAAGAAAAAACGATTAGCTTTTTTCTTGATTTTTTTTCTTCGTTAAAGGTTATGCACAGATTGTTGGCAGTACCTATACCTACGTATACTAAGTTGTTTACCAGAAATATGAAAAAAAAAAAAAGGGACCCCATCACCGATATGGTAAACAAGAAGAATATTATCGTGCAATACAGTTTGGCATAATAATATAGGTTGCTACTCTATACTTACGTCACAGTATAGGAATATTATCGTTAAATTTACAACGAGCGTGTAGATATAATGTTTTTTTAGTTTCAGTTATCATAAGTAAATATGTGAAAAACTAACTGCAAATAGATAACAATTAAATTTGATTTAAAAGTAAAAAATATGCTGTTTATAATGAATATTTGAACTATATAAATTAATTAGTGATAATATGAATATTTTTTTGTATACCACGACTATATATCTATTAGTATAATTTATAACTTTTGTTGTGAATTTCAAAAATGCGAGTACAATATTAAAATTTAAATAACAAAAAACAAAACGCATTTTTAAACCCAATTTAAATACACATGAACAGTATGAGGAATCGTATAAAAAACTAATGTTTTTTTTTTTAAAAAAAAAAAAAGAAGAGGACTGAAATAAAATATTGATTAATGAGCAGGACTCGTAAATTCATGCATTAAAAAACCCACAAATAATCATGCAATAATGCACTACAAAATTCAATATATGCATTTATATGAAATGTATATGCCTTAAAAATCTTAAATTATGCACGAAAAAAAAATGTATAAGCATTTTTTAAAATAATAACAATTATCCATTCATATTTTTAAAAGTTATATTTTAATTTTTCGATTACATTTTATTAAAATTATAATTAATGAATACACGTTACTACAAAAATAAATTGATAGATTGCAATGCACACGTCAATATGAGGAATGTGGTAGCGATGCACAATAACAATGTTTCCGTGGTACTGCTTTTAACTTATAAAACCCAATGTTTTACAAAATTTAAAAATATTAAAATTTTGTAAACATGTTCGAAAAAATAAATAAGAATGAATTCAAGCATTTATTGTTCTATTTTTTTTTAACTTCCACGAAAAACAATTTTGCTGAATTTACATAAAATAATATGCGCTAATAACTCAAAAAAATAAACTATATGCCAAATATGCCAATATATACAAAACATGCAAAAATACATGCTCTATTCAACTATAGATTTTTATTACTATTTTTATGAAACAGATTTGTATCTCACTTAGTCTATTTTCCGATGTAGCAAAAAAAAAAAAAACAAGCAAGTGTATAAACTTACGAGTCCTGATAATGAGTATGTACGAATATATATGATTGAAACACATACTCGTAAATATATAATATAATCTTATAATAACAAATAAGTTGATAACTATCAGTCCGTCTTGAAATCGTCAGACAAAAATAATGTCGATGATTAATAATTGTTTAACATTCGTCTAGTGTTTTATAGTTTTTTTTTATAAAATACTAAATCTGTTTAAATTGTATACAATGGATTTTACGTCAATCAATAACGTTAAAAATGAAACATAAACATTATTCTAATATTCTTAATTTTCTAAAAAGTGGCAGATCAATAATGTTCGCAGATTGTAAAACATTGCACCATGGAGTGAATAACATACCAGACGTGAGTAATAAGAAAAATAACTACTGATTTGTGTGTTCTATTTATTGCTAATTATATTTATATTTTTTGTTTTTTATGATCGACGAGAAACATGTGTACAAGCTTTCAGTATGAATACTGCTACGAATTATACACGTTTATCATTGTTTCGGACCACAAGAATCGGAAAACTTAGTATATAATAATTTGCTTAGCTTTTCAGCCTACATGAATACTCGCAATATTAGATCGGTTCATGGTTTCCGTATATACGAGTAACTAACTCCCGTTAGATTATATATGGTGTATGAGAAATTCAATAGGAGAATATATTAAGGGGATTGCAGGATTTTATCGATTTTAAATTATCTCGAAAATTAATTTTAAATACTGTAACA